AAAAAAAAAAAAAAAAAAAAAAAAAAAAAAAAAAAAAAAAAGAGAGAGAGAGAGAGAGAGAAAGAAAAAGAAAAAAAAAGAAAAGAAAAAAGGAGGAAAAAAAGCCAACGTTGTCATCAAACTCCCCAACTCGCTGACACGGATGCTCATGGATTGACGGGCTATTTTTGTGGCACTGCTCAATGGAGCTAAGTGGGAAGGAGGGTCATCAGTCCCGCCAGGGCTGAGGCCCCCTGGCCTCCACAGCCCCCAGCCTCCCTCCGCATTTCCCCGGGATCAAACACCTCCAGCACAGGGAGAAGCATTTGTATGGAAAGGGAAACGTCCTCAGCATCACAGCATGGATGATGGCTCAGCTGCCAGCCTGCCACTGCCCAGGCTAAGCTCCCAATCCCTGCAATAAGCCCGTCATTAAAATAAATGCAAATGTTCCCCTCCTAATTCCCCCCATCCCACCATGAAGGCCTCAACATCCCCTGCCCCTCTTCGTGGACAGACTCGCCTAAAATGTGCCGCAAATTCCCCAAAAGGTGGACCTGGGTGCGTTGGGGTCCGGAGTAGGCAGGGCGAGACGGATGGGTAGATGCAGTTGCCGAGTTATCCCGGCCTTGGGCCCTCTCCTTGCTGATCCAGGAGCAGGATGCAGAGACCTGCAGGTTTGCACTGAGTCCCAGACAACTGGCACTTTTCCGGGCACTTCCCGGGATGTCACTTGTGCTGGAGCCCTTCACCAGCTGCTTGCCTGTCCTGAGGGCATGGAGCGGGAAGGACCCATGGATTTCCTGCCTCCACCTGGTGCTGGGGCAGGATCCAGGCCTGGCTCATGTCTACATCGCCCATCGTTCCGCCTGGAGCAGCTGGGCAGCTCTCCATGACCCGGCCCGGAAAAAGGGCTGAGGAAAAGGAGCCTGCAGCACCCGAGCCAGCCACTCGCTGCAAAACCCGGGATTTAGGCTGCTTTAAAGTCCTGAGCAAGCAGTTTTCCCCCAAACCGTCACTCGGGCAGGGAAGAGGGATAAAATAACCTGCCACCCACCAGCACAGGGTACCGGGAGTGACAGTCTGACAGTTAAAAATAACCCCCTCTCGACGCACCCTCCAACGCCGCCCCCGCGCAGGGGCAGCAGCAGGGACGCTGCACAGCTCGACGCGGCCTCCAGCCTGCCTTTCTCCTCCCCTTCTCCTTCCCTACAATCCCCGTGCGCTTCAAAACCGGCTCCACATTAAAGGTGTCCAGGCAGGAGGAGGGAAAATGTCAAGGCAGCCGGGGTCTTGCAGCAAGAGGGAAACTGGTGCGCCCCGAAGCAGCCAAGCCATGGGGATCCCAGCCTGCTCCCCCGGAGCGGTGACAAAATCTGTCCCCAACTCCTTCCAGATAAGGTTTAATCATGTTTTTTAATCATGCTGTGGATCTAGTGCCCGGGGGTGTCTCCACTTCTCTGCTGGTGGCCAAACGGTGGCAGCTCCTTAGCTGGAAACAGCCCTAGTTCCTCTCCCTTCTTCTTGAGGACTTGCGGGTGCTGAGACCTCAGTTTCTCCCAAAGCAGAGGATGGGATGGATGAGATCTTTACATGCGGGCTGGTCTGTCGTGACGCTGCAGCTGTGTCTGCAGCAGCTCTAGATGCAGCCAGCCCCTCCACGGCCACCAATGGCCCCGTTGCTTGTGCCAGGCCAAGGGGTAGAGAAGCCACTTGCCATTTGTGCCTATTTAGATGCCAACTGGTGGCCAGGAGCCACGAAGCTCAACACGGGGTGGGTATTGGCCCCAACGGGCAGAGTAACTTGACGGGCAACGGCACTTCCCACCCTATCAGCACTCAGCCACAAATCCCAAGATCAACCAGCTGCCGTTCACCTTGACCTCCCCAAACCTCCCCTTCTCCGAATTGGGGCCACCCGCTCCAGTCCTTCCCACCCCGCGGGCAAAGGGAGCGCGCGGCACATCCAGCCGCTTGCTAATTGTGGCGCTCGCCTTACCCAGATTTGCTCTGCTAATTAGACTAATCTCTCTGACTGGGAAATGAGCTCCAGTCACCCATCGCTAGGAGATCAAGCAAGTTAGATGGTCACTTAACTCACGCCAGGGACCTTCAAAGCGGGTTGCGTTTCCTTGCTGCTCCTCATGGCTCATTGTTCCATGAGACAATAGAAACGGCGCTAATTTTGTGTTTCTCCTCCAAGCTGATTCCAAAATCAGGACATCTGCATTGCTCAACTTTTTTGATATGAACCAGATGCAAATAATTAATAAATCCAAAGTCGAGATAATGCGGGCATCTAAATTTAAACTGAGGACGGCTTTCTAATGTCAGCTCCGTTCCTGCCTCCTAGGAGAAGGAGGAGCGGGGAGCACAGAGGGATTTCCTGGGAAAATTCCTGCTGCTGGGAAGCTCTGCAGGGCAGCCGAGGTATCCGGAGGCACAGGCTGCACCCAAGCTCCTCACTAGCAAATCTCCACGGCCAGGAAAGAGGGAAAGAGCAAAAACAAACACATACAGGCTGAGATTTGCAGGGAATTAGGACCAAACTCTTTCTGAATTTGGCACCTTCCCTCCTGCTCCTCTGAAAATCTCTGCCTGGGGTCGAGGGGGAGGAAAGGAGGCGACTTCGGAGGCTGCCAAGTCCTGGGTGCTCCCAGGCACGGAGCAAGTTTGCACAAACAGGAGGCACCTCCTGCGGCCAAGGGACGGACATCCCACGCCAGCATCGCCGGGCCCATTCCCAGCGGAGCTCTTTGCTGCCTCCGGCATTTTTGCCTCCTGTCTCCCAGACTCCCTGTCCTTGCTCCCCCCGAGGTGGCCGTGCACGTGACGCCCCGGCTGCCCCGCACGGAGCTGTCCCTTGGCCCTGGGCTTTGGCTTGGGGCCGGGCACTGACCCTCACTCACCCTGGGCCACCGAGTGCCTCCGGGTACCGACAGTCCCT